TGCACCAATATCGAATTTCAACACTCAAATTGCGATCAGTTCTTGAACTGAACACGACGGCAATAACCATCCCCGCATTCCCAATTTTGTCACCGTAACATGACTTGAAATTCAATTTTATAACTGGCTGAAGAGTTATAAAATTGAATTTCATGTTGCGATAAAAAACAGAAATCGGGAGTGCGGGGATGGTTATCGCCGTCGTGTTCAGTTTAGGAACTGATCGCGACTTGAGTGTTGAAATTCGATATTGGTGCAGTTATAATTACTCAAAACTTTTGTTATCTGTTTGAAATGTGGGGTCCTTTTATATAGTTTACTTGATAGCTTCCTCTAGACGGTTGTTAGAGAAGTATAATGAAGTCCACGTATAGCATCCGATACGCTATGTAGGTAACTGTATTTCTTTGCGGTGGATAACATAGGTCTCTCGGTTGATTCATGATAGATGGCGATCTTGTACATGTGAATCGGATGTAGTATTGAAAATGATTTTTGAACCTTTTTTTATTCATTCATTTTAGAATTGATTTCGCAATCTCCCGCAATTATTGAAATACATTTGACCATCCTGAAAACGATAGATAACTGAAGATAATGATGATAATTCATTCAAACGGAATTTAATGAAAGTTAATATAGTAAAAAATTTGAACTAACGAAACAGCGGAAATCTGCTATTTTCATAACTATAAAATATAAAATCGAATGAGATAAATCAAGAATGCAATGAAGTGAATAGAAAAACAAGAAAATTAAACGATAAAATATAAATGATTATTTTTCATCAATTATTTTAGGTAAAACTACTACTTCTGGCTGAAACTTTGGCGAGGTTGTTCAATAACATTTAAGTCCCATTCCTTTGAAGAGATTTATTTGAAATATTTACAAAACGAGTTCAATAATATAAAAGACGATAGAAGATCATGACGAAATTTTAAGTCAGGACCGACAAGAATCGATACATTATACGACACCAACCAAAATTAGATAGAATAATCCATAACATAGGATACTGAAATTGAACACACTTTGCAACCATCAGTAAACTACAACGTTTATTAGTATATATGAAAAGTAATCAGATGACATTCATTCGCTTATTTTACTAATATCAAATAATAATTATTTTTGAATCAAATTAAATAAAATTAGCCTATGAATGTCATTACGTACTGTCATCAATGAGATGAGTAGATTGAACTCATTCGTGACGTGAAGCTGTAATTTTATGAATGAACTGGATGCTTTATCTTGTAATGTTATTCAGATTGGTGTTGAACAGGCAATAAGACAAGTGACTCATTCTGAAACATCAGCTGTCCACCATTGAGGATGAGAGTGTTCAATGTAAGTGGAATTTTTCTCCTTTCATGTACTATATTGTGTAGCAATCCTGTGAATGTTATCTGATTCAATTCCATAACGAATTTCTGGAGTAAAAACTCAATGGGAAAAAGTGTTTATTGTATAATTCCATATTCACATAAAACTAGTTGTTTTATCTCCCTTCATATATTGGAATCTTAAAGGTACATCAGATATTTACATAATAATATAGGCATAATTCATTATAATATTAAATTTAACAGTTCAAGAATAACTTTTCAAAACGCTCATTTCCTTTTTTTTATAAAAGAGGATGTATGCATCTCCACTCACAAGCGATTCTGGTGAAATTGGTGACACGTGTGAATCATTGTATTCGTGCCACGTTCCAGTATAGGGATGTCTGCAAAATGCTGTATGATGTCCGCTATAGGTAGACCCACTGTGATTCGAAAGTGCATATAGATCACAACGACAAGGAGTCAACATTGTCTGCTGCATAATTGTTCATATCTAATCCATCCAGAGGATATTCGATGGCACCATTCAACTTGCCTCTAAATCTTTCTGTTAGCGAGAATCTTTTAAAATGAATGACTAAAATATAGGAAAACATATGAATAGATAGAGAGTTTGTGGCATATTCTTCTTTCCTTGCAACTCGAACACGTCGGTTTTTCATGTCCATCTAAAGTTTCCTCTTGTGATAAACTCAATTCGCCAGTTCTTTGTGGTATGGGTGGTGAAAAATTCCAGAAAGGATCGAAAGTTACAGATGAGTGTCCACAGTGTATGTACTTCATCGTGAATTTTAATTGACAAACGAAATTATCTACAATCTTAGAGTAATATGTACTCAAATAAATCAGCCATGACTCTTGTGTTTTTCCGCTGCCACTAAATTTTTCGTTAATCTATGTTAAGGTCAGTTTAGGTTTCTCATTAATTCTATTAACGTCATCATGTAAACCTTCTGAAAGATAACGAAAGAACCCCTGGGCATCTTGATGCGCATGACCCATGATTCGAGTGGCAAAACTCTGAATCTGACTTTTCAAGGAGACTGGAAATATTAGTATTCATATATTTCAAGTAGTCATCCTTTCTCATATATTCCAGTAACCACCTCGTATTTGATAAACATTGGATCACACTGTTCATGAAACAGGTGTTGCCAATATTTTTCAATCCATTATTGTGTTGAAGCTGTTGATGATACGTTCGCCACTACTGTTTTCTGTCCAGTAATCACTGGATGTGATGATTTTCTCCATCATTGGACCAACGGAATGAGGAATTTGAAGTTAACTTGCTTGAAACTGAATTATATAGATTCATTGTAGTTTTTTCGAATTTGAGAGAGAATGATAATTCCAGAACTTGATTATTTTCCTCTGAATCCTCTGAGAAAATCGGGAAATGATCAATCTGCTTACTCCAGTTTGCGTTGTTCATAGGAAATTCTGATTTGTTTTGTGGGTTCAGGAATATTTCATCTAATTTTTGATTAGACGGAAGAGTACCCAACATCGATGTGGCATTACCCCTTTGAATGACGATACTGATTCTTTGAATTAAAAATGAATAAGCTCGGTTGTCATCGGTGGAATTCATCATACTTCTATCAATTTCTTTCAACAGTTCAGAAGCATGAGATCCAAAAACACCAAAATTTCAATTTCAACAGGAAAGAAACATTAGGAACTTAGCAAAGTGGAGTATTTGCGAAATTTCAATTTTTCTGCAATCATAGCAGCTGCACCACTGGAGTTAGACATAGCGACAAGGTGTGAAGCTGCAACTGTATCTACGCAGGTGAAGTCCCAAACCAGAAGTTTCCCAAATTTCCAAGGAATTAGACTCATCCCGTCTGAACGCTGTACCTAACTATAACCGTTCTCGAGTTATTGGAAATTAAATAACATCAAATGTAGAGAAATTATCTCTTCGAATTCTGCAAGCATGAAAAAGGTTTTGTGTGTAAAAATAACGATTTGGTGTTGGGAAAAAACCCCAGTAATATTCATTACTACACCAAAGGTTCCAAACAGTAGACCATAAGTACATAATGACGGCCAGGTCAACGGAACTGAGTTTTATCTTCCTCTTGAAGATGATCACTTGGTGATCGAAACACTTGTCGAGGTGTAAAAATGACGATTTGGTGTTGGGACAAAACTCCAGTAATATTCATTACTACACCAAAGGTTCCAAACAGTACATTATAAGTAAAAGATACCTTTGTTATTTCAAATAGAACACCCCGTATTTTTTTGGTCTGAACAGTATAAAATTCAATTTTCTTTCATTTCATTTCGAGGTTCCCTATACCTAATATGAACAGTTTTTCAGATATTGTCTTTTTCTAATACTATAGTCCTTATTTCGATGCATTCTTTGTACTGAAATAAATGTACTCTAATACATGAATGTGAATGTTGAGTTATTTGTCAAACACAAAATAGAATTTGGTAAGCGATTCTAAGGAAAAAACATTAATTTTTCCAATGACGAAAAAGTGAATATGCGTTTTGTTTATTCGAGATGTTTGAGAAATGCTGCCAAATCTTTGGCAGTGTATCAGGAATTGTATCCTGAACAACGACAGCCTAATCATAGATATTTTCAACGTATCGAAAAGAGTTGACGAAAAGAAGCCTCCAAAAGGAAATGTGGTTACTGAATGTGGTGGCTATAATGAAATCGGCGTTGTAGGTGGCTTCAAAAAAGATTCACAATGATGATAAAGTAGCATCCATTCGATATGGGATTTGTGAAAAACAAAAAAATTGAGAACAAGGAAGTATCCCTGACTTAGATTGCTCAAGAGTTTTAACGTTTTTTATGTGATGAAGCACTAAAGGATTCTATGTTTGTACATATATGATAAAAATTTGAATGGTAAAGGAAACTTTTATATACTTACTACAAAATATTGTGAGATTGCAGGGAATAATTTATCAAATGAAGACGCGGTACCAATGTTTGGTACCAACAGGATGGGACACCATCTCTCAATTGAGGAACTAAAGGCGTATTACTCAATCAATTATAATATGATAGGTGGATTGCAAATAATGGGCCGTACATTTGGCCATCACCCTCTCTCGATTTGTCCCCTATGGACTATATTAAAAATATTGTGTATGCAGATCCTGCAATGGGTATTATTTATATTTAGGAAAAACATTATTTTTGAGTTTTCGCTCTTTTATGAAACATTTACAAAAAAAATTAGTTCATTATAGCTCTTATAGACTTTCTGTAATTGTCCGAAATGAATGTTTCACATCCCATAGTTTTATAGTAGACTTGTGCATGTTTTATTAAAAAAAAACTATAATATCTTGTGACCAGTTGATTTTTGATGCAGGAAATGTTTCATGAAAATGAGTTAAAATCGTCTCGGAATCTCAATATCCATTTTATATCTTCAGAATTAGTCATCGATTCCGAACAGCTTGTTTAATTGGAAATGTTACCCCTAGAAAACGATGATGAATCCATAATAGCTTATGTATTCTATCAAACTTTTGAATTTCATGG